CTGCTGAAGTGCCACCTCAGTCTCTAGATAAGGAAAATAAGATACAAACTTGTTATTTAAATCATATATCTATTAATTTCTATTATTAATTTGCCTGTTAAGCGAGTAAAGGGAAACAAGCTTGATTAATATATTTCTTAAAGAGTGAAAAAAGACCTTTGGCCTAAAGTCCCCTCCCCTCTCACATTCTAAGGGCCCTGTCTGGCCTAACACCATTTCTGCTAACAATGGGTTGATGACAGTTATCAATAGCCAGAGGATCTGTGTCACCAGTTTTGAGGCAATTATCAGGATTTGAGGGAGATGGCCTTTTTCCTAAAAAAGGAGAGAAGAAAACTTAACTAGGTTTACTAAAAAGATTAAGAACTCTGCAAGAGATGTCCCATTTCATTTCCTGCTAAAAGATTAAGAATTTTACAAGTGACATCCCATATCAGTTACTTATCAAGAATCTATTACTTGTCTTGCAATTTGTATCATCTGGCCGACAACCTTTTCTTATGGAGGTGGGCTGAGAAATTTACTGAGCCATGCTAAAGACAGCCTTCTTTTAGGATCATTATTAGTTTAGGGATGGCATTAGATATACTAACAGAAACCTGAAAAATGGTGACATACAGTTAGGGGTTTAAATTTGCTGCATTTAAAATAAATCTCAAGGTGAGAGCAGAGCTCCTAATAGCATAGCAGTAACTCTGTTCCCTGCAGCCTCCTGAGCCATCATCTACAGGGCTGACTCTGCCCTGTGTCTTCATTTCTTCATTTATTTTCCTCCTTAACACACACCACATTCTGACATATCATATGTCTATTTGTTTATGGTCTGTCTCCTTCCTAGACTGTAAGCTCATAAAGGGCAGGGATTTTTGTCTATTTTTATCATGCTGAATCTCCAGCACAGAAGACAGCGTGTATTTGTTGAGTAAATGAATAAATGGTCTTTGGATGATTGCTAAAACTCAGATCATCAAGTTTGTGCTTCAGGCAGGAAGAAATTAAAGAGCAAAGGGCAAAAAGGGGCCCAAGCTCCAGAAAAGACCTTTCCTGGAAGTCCCAGTTAGGAGCTTAGGCTGGCTGACATTTCTATGACTGGAACTCTGTCACATGACCTCTCCTATCTGGACTGGAGGTTGAGGGAGAAAAAAAATTTTTAAAGCAGAGAAACACTAGATTCTGTAGAAGTAATGTAGGGAGGAAGCAAGAGAATTAAAATGTTAAATCAAGCTACATTCAGAGACTGCAATATGCTGACCAGCTCAGCAGCCAGGCCAGAACACCTTCAAAACAAAGGAAGATTTCTGCTGAGGTCACTAACAACCCATTCCCCACATCTGTGAAGGGGAAACACACCCGTGGAAGGAGAAACAGAGTCTTTAAGTGGCTGTCCTACACAAAATCATTCATTCCCTATGGGTAATACCTTGGGGGACCTATGGATTAAAGGCTGGGAGCTGCCATCAGGGCTTTCACGCTACATACTCTTCCTCTTCCCTTTCCTCACTGTATGTCCATATCAAAGGAAATGGGAACTAAAGAATGATATATAAACTGAATTCCCTGAACACTTGGGGTTCCCCTCACTCTGCTTCTGAGAGGAGACCACACTCTGTGGAGTGTTACCCTTTTTCTAGTAAACTATCCTTTTGCCCCTAACTTTGGTGTGTGTGTTGAATTCTTTCTACACTCTCTGCCAAACGACCCTCTTTCTCTCAATGCAGGGCTTGGTTTCCCCCCATTCAGAGAAATTTGCCCTGTTCTGCTGTGTTGCTGCAGATTCGAGGTTCCGAGTGAAGGGGTATGAGGCTCCGGCAGTTGGAAGAAAATGTGGGGAGCCGTAGGCAACTACAACATAGCTCTTTATTCCAGCAAGGGCATAGCCAGCCATGCAGGGAGGCAGCGCCTTTATATACACAGGTTAAACAATAGAGGCACACTGCCAAGTTATAGGAGCCCGCGCATGTGTACTGGGCACATGGTTATGTAAGGGGAGAAGTGCTGAGTCACTTCTGATCGGAAGTTAGCTAAGGGTATGTGTGTGGGGTGGGGGGAGGGGAGCCTGACTATGGCCATCTTTCTTCGCACAACTGCATCAGAAGGAGGAGTAAGAATGGATATTGGGTGTTTGCAAGATGGCTGCCTGATGCCCTCTCTTTGAATGCTGTAATTCCTTAATTCCACACTAACTGTTTATGTGTTGGGTCTCTAAGATGTAGTTCCAGGAACTGTGAGTAAGACACCCTCCCCCTGCAGGATGGGGTGAATCTCTCCAAGTGAGGACTCAAGCCCTGTTCCCTGCCCCCGCCCAGAAGATCCTTGAATCCACACAGTAAAGAATTCAAGTGTGAGCCAGAGTTAGAGACAAAGAAAAGTTTACTAGACAAGGAGTAACGCTCCACAGACAGAAACCTGGTCTTCTCTCCAAGTCAAAGAATGAGTCCCTGAGTGTTTGTGGAACTGAGTTTAAATCTTTTCTTTCCGGGTATGGGTATGCAATGTTAAAGGCATGGGGAAGTAGTTATTGGTAATTTCATCAAGAATCTCCCTGTAGGTGCCCTGTGGTCTGGCCGTGTGCTGATCAGCCAGGTTCCCGTGTGCAGCAGTGCGCAGCAGTCTCTGAATATAAGTTGGTTTAATATTTAGTCAATTTGTATAGTTCTCATGCTTCTTTGCTATATTACCTCCTCCCCCAATCTACCAACTGTTCTATTTTTAGGCATCATAATTCTTACTGAAACATTTAGTGTCTTAAGATCTACCCAACAGTCCCCCTGCTATGTAGAATGCAGGACTGTGTACTCTAACAGGTAATTGAAGTACAGTGAGAGTTGGGCATCTCGGGCCCTGCCTATGAATTCACAAATGGGTGACTGGGGCTGAATTCCGCCTGCACTCACACCCTTCGGCCTCCCAGCCTGGCATAGTGCATGGGCTACCTGCCAGAGAAAGGGGCCCTTTTTCTTATTTGCACTAAAAGTGCGGTTTGTTGCCATGCTTGTATACCTACCTATGGGCTGCCCGGAAGAAAAAGTGCCTTTTCCTATTTAATTCACCATGAGGTGGAGTCCTTTAAAAAAAGCACACATAGGTGCCCTGAAGGCTGGCTGCAGCCTCTCCTATATGGAGGTCGATAGCTTTCTCTCCCCTGTTTGTCCTGAAAGCCAGAGATCTGCACGTCATCACTGAAACCCCACATCTGTCTCTTCCTTATTTCCTCCTTACAAACAATGTCAGACTATTGAATAAAGGCAAGCTGAAGACAGGCATTCTACTCTTAGCTTCAGACCAGCACCTTCTGTTAAAAAAACCATCTCCCAGGCACGCTGCCGTGAGTGAGATGGACTCACAGGGGGCGCAGCCTATTCTGTACTCCACTGAGGACACTCAAGAATATCCCAGTCTAGTTCATGCCTTATTTTGAAATCACCTCTGCAGGTGCCTGACCTCAGCCTCCCTTGTTTTAACTCCATCTCAGACAGTGAAGTCTTCTGATGCTGGCACCAAACTGGGATGAGCTGTTTCTGGAGCCCATGTGCACTGGCCACACCTTTTAACTCGGAGCACTTATCAATGTATGAAATAACTAGATCTATCTTAAAATGCTCACTGAATAGTGAAAGTACAGAATAGTTATATAGTAGATTGTGTGTGAGTGTGTGTGTGGTGTGTGTGTTTATGAGTGTTTAGTCCTTTTATCCTTTTATCACTATATAATAAAAAACATGAAGGTGAAATTTCTCTGGGAGACGAACGCCAAGGAGTTAAGCCCTGTCCACTGTGCACCTGCTTGGATACCTTCCAGAGGTCTTCTGGTGCCTCTGTGGCTTTCCAAGGGTCTGTTGAACCTATTTTTGCAAATGTTATAGGGTAGTGGAAAGGACCCAGGCTTGAGGTTAGGCAATAGCTTGAGTTCTTGCTTTGTTACTATCTGAGTGACCTGGGGCAAGTGAAACAATACACTCTCTTCTGTCAGCCTCAGGCCCACACCCACAGGAACAAGAGAACAGCCATGCAGATGCCTGCACCTCAGATGGAGAAACACTCAGGTAACACCTCCCCCTCATCTACTAAGAATGTCCTTTCTCAGTAGCTCCTCCATCTTATCATTTGGCCATATAACTTGATATACTCTAGGAGGCAGAGCTGATTGCCTCTGCAAATTCCATTATCCTTTTCTTCCTCAATAACAGAACCTCAATCTTAGGTAAATGTCAATGTGCTACTTAAAAACACTCACTTCCCAGGCTCTCTTGCATCTAGGTGGCTGTGACTATTTGGCTAATGAGTCATCAGCAGAAGTCTGCTTGGTGGGACTCTCAGGACTTCATTTGCTTTCCTGATTAAAAAAAAAAAAAGATTCAGTTGCAGCATGCCTTTTGCTCTTTTCCTTTCTGCCTGAAATGTGGATGTGATGCCTGAGGGAGGAGTAGCATCTTGTACCCATGAGGCAGAAAGATAGACATAAGACATCTAGCAGGAGACTTGAGTCCTTGGGGACTTTGAGCAGCGGCATCAGCCCTGGACTGCCGGCTCCAGTCTTCTTGATAGATAAAAAAATAAACTCCTACTTGATTAAGCCATTATATTGAGTCCTTGTAATGCGCAGCCAAATACAACTTTAACCAGCACACCCTCTCCCTATGTACTTTCGTTTGTCTGATGTGTTCCTGCCTTACAGTGCTGCTTTTCCAAATCGCAAGGTCCACAAATATAGGCAAGAGATACCTGCATTACCCACACTCTCGGGTGCTGCCAATGCCTCTGGGAAACCAGACTCAGCCCCTGCTTCTCCCTCAGCCCCTGCTTCTCCCTGTAGAGAAGGACAAAGCGACTCTGAGCTCCTGTTTCCTCTTCTGTAAACTGGGGAATTATAACTACTTAGCAGGCTTGATTTGTTAAGTCCCAACCTCATTAGCAATTATAATTACCAGTATCCCTCACTCCTCTTCAGTTTTTTTAAGGTCTTCCCAAAGCAAATAGGAAACATCTCCTGCTCAGCTAACCTCAGGAGGTCACTAGGCCCAGAGCGTTTTTTGTCCTTAAGAAGCTTCACTTCCTTCATTTAAGGTCAAGAACTAGAAAGGATGTCCTCAGTTACAACTGGGATAGGTGAGAGGTGTCCACTCAGGAGACATGAAGGACAACATTCTACTAAACCAGAAAAGACGGGTTAACACAGCAGCAATTTCTTTCTGAGTGAGCACTGTCCTCCCTGGGGAGCTGGATAGAGGTGGGTCTTGGAGCCACTGACACCCATCCTGCTCATGATAGTGAGAAAGGGAAGTCCAAAAAGAGGTTGGGTCTGGGGGAGGGCCTATGAAGGGCAAATGGACAGTGATTTTGCCTCTACTACCCACCTCCATAGGATAATAGTATTATAATAATCTTACTCTCATGACCTTGCCTCTCTCTAACTGCCAGGATATTCCTATAGTCTAACTATTTGGCCTTCGCTATGAGAAACTTTTCTTACTATTATACTTTGTTTATTTTGCAATTCTCTGAAGATATTCTCCTGATAGCCATTTTTGCCTTTCATCACTCTTTTTCTCTCCTGGTGCATCATTGTTTTTTTTTGCTTATTTCTCTCACATGCTCACTCCCTGAAATCTGATCTATTCTTCAAGGTCTGTTTCAGATGACTTCGCAAAGCCAACCTGGAAGGAGACATTTCCCTTCTTCAGAACACACAGCACTTCGTTCCTCTGGCTTCTGTGACCATCAGCAAACGGGTGTGTGCTTGTATTAGACTTAGTCCTTGGGTCCCTTTAGGCAGGCATGGTCTTGTACTTAGCCCTGCCCTGTCACATTATATTTGCTTGGTAAATATTCATGGAATTCAACTGGAAATTCCCACGGGGGAAGAGAGGACAGATAGACACCAAGCACAATACATTTTAATAAAGTGGAGATCGTTTTCCTTAAGAAATGCCTCCTGTGTAAGCCTTGGACACACTGATACAGGACTGGTGCTTAAAGTTGTGGCTAACAACCACCTGCTCAGAGAACTCTCTTCTTCAGGAGAAATACAAGTAAAAGAAATCACTATAGCTTCTTATCTCCTATAATAGGGAAATTATGAGTAATTCTTTCCTGGGGGGACACCCACTGAGTCAGAGGTTCACACCTGCTTAGGTAAGTCATGGGTGTGATCAGGGAAGAAGTGCTGCGTGTTCTTTTGGCCTCGGCACCCAGCATCAGCTATTTATATATTACTGATGCAAGTTTCCATGTGTAGAGTCCTGGCTATTGCTCAACGTGCTTTCATACACATGCCTAAACAGGACCATGGCAGGTTAGCTGTCTAGAAAAGAAACTAGATGGAGCAGGTTCAAAGGGTCCCTCAATTCTTACATTGAAAAAAGAGCCTGCTTAGGGGTGGGAACACGGTGGGAAAGGAGAAGCAGAACTTTATCTGACAATGTTAGCATGGAGATGTCTAGCAAACAATTAGATACGAGTGTCGCAAGCTTAGGGGGCAGAGAGTGGGCAGGAGAGTAGATTTCAGAGTTGTTGACATGTAAATGGGAATCAAAACCATGGCGGTGGCAAGATCATCCTGGGAGGACATGAGGAAGAGGGGGATGGAGTACCAACACTTAGGTGGAGAACCAGACCCCCAAGCAGGCCAGGAAGGGATGGCTAGAGAGGTTAAGAAGAGGTAGGAGGGGAAATCAAGGCAGTTGAGACTTCTGAGAAAAAAGTGAGCAGGAGAGAGAGAATGAGAAAGAGGG